AGATTGCGGGGATGTCTTGAGCGTTGGACAGTGGCCTACTCGAGCCCACTTCAATAGTAATATCTTAGTAGTGCCCAGCAACGAACTTCGAGGCGCGCACGGTGCCAAGCTATATTACCGAAAAAGACCAACGAGACGGTTCCAGCGGAGCCCCGATCGAGGCCCCGTAGGGTTTCAAGACGCGACCGGGGGCAGGGGGAGGGCACGATAGGAGGCCCATGAGGCCCCGCGCCCAGGAACCCCCCAGCTCCACGCGAACCCCGAATGATCCAGGCAATGCGTCGAGGATGAGGGATGACGATGTCGATTGTGATGGACGTTCTGCGGCGACGAAACGATGTCGCAGTTGCGGCGAGGCATCCCGGAGTTCTCGCGGGTGCTCCTGGCGAAGGTGCTCGCGCGTCGCGGGAGACACCCAGGCTGGCAGGCGGCCGCCCTACTGCTGGCCGAGCCTCCAGAGCTGTGCGACCGACGCGCCAGCCCCCTCATTCCGCGCGTGGCACGCCGAAGGTCACCGCGGCGTTGCTGCTGGTGCATCCTTTGATCTTGGCCAGGCACGAGGGGCAATAGAAGACGTACGAAGCGAACATCGTCCTACCAGCGATCGGGTAGAGCTCCCCCTCGTCTTTGGGCACCCGTTTGACGCACATGTTGCACTGGACATTGTGCTCAGCTGGCGGCGTCCACCACAGTTGATCCTTCCTCAGGTCGTCCCTGTAGGACTCCAACTTGACGACGGAGTCCTTACTCCTGATGAGCAGGCCAATGTCCTCCTCCACCATCATGTGCGTCGCCGACGACGACGACGAGCTGTTCTTCTTCTTCTCACCGCTGCGCAGAATGCCGGTCGGCTTAGGGCCGCGCAACAGGAGGCTGGGTCCGTGAAGCGGGGCCACCCGCCTCCTTGTTGTTGCTGCCGTCGGCGCTGCTGGCGGCAGTTGTTGCTCGGCCGCCGGCGGCGGCGGGGGGGGCCCCGGCGGGGGGGGCTTCGGCGCTGTCGGCAGCTGTTGGGCCGGTGCCGGCGGCGCCGGTGGCATGGCCGGCGTCGCCGCTGGCGGTGGCGGGGCGGGTGGCGGCGGCGGCGGGGGCGGCGGCGCCGCGGGCTCGGTCCTCCTGTAGGGCGACGAAATCTATACATAATATCCACTGCTCCCTGGCCAGGCCCAGTCTGGACCCAGCAGCGGTGTACGCGTCGCGCCCCCCTGGCTCGGCCAGGAGGGCGTATGCGCAGCTCCCAGGTTCAGGCTGGGCCTGGCCGGGGAGCAGTGGATATGTATATATAGATTTCGTCGCCCGATCCTCCTCGTGCCCGGCGGCGGCGGAGGCGGCGCCCGCGCGCTGCAGCCCTCGCTGTCGGAAGCAGACACCAACTCGGAGCTCGTACTTGATGCCAAGAACGACAACTCGGAGCTCGAAGAAGAAGATGACGACGACGAAGAAGAAGACGATGACGACAACGACCTCCTCTTCTTCTTCTTCTGCTTGATCTTCTTGGCTGGTGGTGGCGCCGCCGCGTCGTCGTCGCTCTTCATGTACTGGCTGAAGGCTCTTAGTGCGCCAGTGTGCTGGCCCTTGCTGTACTGGTACATCTCCTTCACGTTGTCAATGAAGTCGTTGCGCTGCGCCTTTGCAACTGCTTCGGTGAAAGATTCGAGTTGCGAAACCTCGTCCTTCATGATGGCCCTGACGAATAGCTTGTAGCGCTTCGTAGTCTTCAGGGCGAACTTGTTGCCATTCAGCATCCACTGTTCGAAGCCGTCCAACGCCTCCTCAAGGTCCCGGAGAGCCCGTCGCCTCGCCATATGCGAGCAGCACCTTCTAAGAAGAGGAAGGCCTAAGGGCGCGGCGCAATCCACGCTGCTCGATCCAGCCAAAATGGCTTCGGAAAGCCCGACAAGGCCTGAACGCCAAACCTATTCAAACACGTAATGTTGGCCTCTCGGGGCCCGAGACTTCTTGGAGGCATCTTGGAACGTATTCGAAGCCTCTTGGGCTGCCGCGGGGCCATCTTGGGCATCTCGGAGCGATGGTTTGACGCGTCGGCCCTTCTTGGGCCGTCTTGGGGGCCTCATGATCATGAGGCCTTCTTAGCTCGTCGCGGGGCCCTCTTGTGCCCGAACAAAACTAGCCTGGCGAAAGACCCAACCATATGCAAGTGCGAATGCCGCAGGCAGGTGGGGCGAAGGAGAGGGGGAGGGGTGTCACGAAACGTGAGGGGTGCGGCGACATGTGGCGCTGACGCATGCGAACTGCGCCACTGGGGCCTTCGGTGAAGCTCAATATGGGGCCTCGGAAGCATGCGGGCGCCTCTGGGGCCTTCGGAAGCACGCGGGCGCCCCTACTGAGGCCTTCGGTGGGGCTCCCTATTATAGGGCCACGACACGTGTGAGGGGTATGCTTGAGTGGTAGCGACGATGATAATTATGACGATATGGTGATGGTGGCTGCGATGATGGTGACGATGATGACGATGATGATGACGATGAGAAGAGGGAGGACGGGGAAGAGGAGGAGCGAGGAGAACGCGGGGCGTTGGCTCTTCAAAACGAGGACACAACACCACAGGATGGTCGGTAATCATGCGACAGGCCGCGCTGGGGCCCGGGGGGCACGCCGGTAACCCCAGTGGGCCCGAGGGGCAGAGGAGAAGGATGAAGAGGAGGAGGGGGGGGGAAGGGGAAGGAGAGCGATGAAGACGATGATAACGCAGAAACCTTGTGAACCCCGCGTCGCGCGGGGTCAGCGTGCATGTCTGGCCTCTTCTTGTTTCATTTCAGCCCGGACGTGTTCGGGGAGAGCGTCACTGCCCCGCATCTTCGCGGGCCGCCATTCCAGGAGAAGCACTACAAGAAAATAGTGGCGGCCATTCTGGAGGCCAGGAAGAAGGACGGCGTGGACGTCGCCACTCTCAACCCAGGCGAACTTGTCGTGCTGTCGGACTGTGGCAAGCCGGGCATTGCGAAAGGCTTGATGGCGCCGTGGAAGCAGGGGGCGACCAAGGAAGTGAAGGAAAAGAAAGACGACAGCCCCGATGGCGGCGAAAAGGATGTCGCCATTGATGCTGACGACGATGAGGACGACGCAAAGTCAGGCTTCGTGGAGCGGCCGATCACTGTCTTCAAGGACGAGAAATCCTTGCGGGACCGCAAGAAGTTGGTGCGCGGCGTTGCCAACATCAAGCAGAATTCTACGATATATTGCTGCAGCTCGGCGCCCCTAAACCTCCCGACTCGCGACAGCAAGCACTACCCGGGGTGCGGCACCAACCAGGGCACCATCATCGGCCCCGTCGTGCTCGACGCTGAGGCCGACGAGTGGAAGGCTACGTTCGCAGAGAAGAAGCTCATCTACGGCAAGAACTATCGCTTTGCCGTCGGCGGCAAGGTCGAAGGGCAGAACGTTGGCAAGAAGCGGGAGAACAGCGACATGGAGGTGGTGTTCATGAACGCGATGCCGAGAACGTTCTACAGCGAGATCAACCACCGATTCTTCGTGGCCCACGTCTTCGACATCAGCCCAGGGCCGGGCCTTTACGGGGAGGAGTGCATCGAGGCGGGCGTTACGTACTTTTGCTTGGCCTTCACCGAGAAGCACGCTCAGGCTGGGGCCGCGCACGGGCGCAATAAAATGGGGGCGAGAGGGTTAAGGGGGAAATTGCGACGAGCAGGAATGATGATCAGGAGTGGGGGACGAGGAGGAGGCGTAGGAATGTAGAGGACAAGGCGGGACGGCGGCTGAGGAGGAGCGGGGGGGGGGGCGACGGGGCGGGTTCCCAGATGTAGCGAATCACCGAACGAGTCTCTGCCCGCTCAGGGCCCCCCAGCCTACCCCCATTCTCGGGAATAGGGCGGATGAGACTTTGGACTGGGCCTTCTCAAGTAGTTTGTTTGGTGATGGCTCAAATTTGGACCAATGGGATAGGTGGTGAACGGCGGTGACTGGTGATGCTGCTGATGATGCTCGTGATGATGGTGGCGATGATGATGATGGTGATGATGACGACGATGGTGATGATGATGGCCCCCCTCCCCCTAGTGACGCCCCGCGCGCCCCCGCCAACTTATTCAGATCTCGTGTCCCTGAGCCCTTGGGGCGCTAGGCCATCTCGGTCGGGGCCAACCTGAGGCTTCGAGAGGTTATCTGGAGCGAGCGAGAAGGCACTTACTTGAGAACACTTGGAGCTGCGAGGAGCGGCCATGGAAAAACAACGATGATCTACGGCAGATTTCGGAAACCCTGAACCAGAAAACGTTGACGTCTCCTTTTACTTCCGCCGCCTTCCGCCGAGCTTCCGCCGGCTTCCGCCGGCGGTTCCGCCGCCGTTTTACTTCCGCCGCCTTCCGCCGCCCTTCCGCCGGGCTTCCGCCGAGGGCGGGGCGCGCCGAAGGCGTGGCCTTTTTTTTGATATTTCCCGCCCCCAGTGCTTGCAAGAGAAGTTCAAGTTGGCGGCGCTCCGCTGCATGTGCAACGACAAGTGCTCGTTGCACTACAACGCGAAGGCGGCGGGCGGGACAGAATGGGCAGTGAGCGGGGGCAGCGATGGGGGCCAGGGCGGATGCAGAGATGGATGAGAGTAGAGAGGGCGGGGAAGGGGATGGAAGACAAGGAGGAGGAGGAGGAGGCGGAGGAGGAGGGGGGGGGGGAGGAGGAGGAGGAGGAGGGGCAGGGGGGGATGAGTAAGAGTAAGAGTAAGAGTAAGAGTCCCAGGACAGTAAGAGTAAGAGTAAGAGTAAAGGTAAGAGTAAGAATATGAGTAAGAGCAAGAGTAAGAGTCCCAGTAAGAGTAAGAAGAGTAAGAGTAAGAGTAAGAGTAAGAGCCCAGGACAGTCTCTTGGCTGTTCGCCCGCAGGTCTCCGAGAGGCATTTGGGTGAATCGGACGCCTAACGGGAAGCCCCCTTCCCCTTCCCCCCCCCGCCCCGCCCTCCCCCCTCTCCCGCGTCCACCCCCTCGTCCTGCCGCTGCTGATGCCGCCGCCGCTCTCGCTCTCGCGGCCTTCCAGGCCGCCGCGTTCTTCAACGGCGACGCTGCTGCGGAGAACGGCGACGAGAAGAAGAGGATGAAGGACTCCGCTGAGGCGAAGAAGAAGGCAGCCGCCGCAAAGACTACTACTAAGAGGAAGGCCGCCGCCGAGAAGAAGAAGAAATCGACCGAGGCTGAGGGGGGCGAGGGCGACGATGGCGGCGAGCTGGGCGCGGGCGGCGAGGAGGAGGATGGCGGTGGCGAGGGCAGCGACTGGGATCTCTCTGACGCAGAGAAGTAAGCGCCTGGCTTGAGGCACGGTTGAAGGACAAAACTTCTGGACACGCTCGACGACGCCAGTTTCTGTTTCAAAATCGGCTTGGATTTCGCTTCCTGGAGCTCTCGCGCGGGATCCCAGGGTTCCCCGGCGCGCCTGGGCCATCCTGGGGGCCCCCGAGGCCCGAGGCGGCCCTCCAGATGGCGAACAAATTTTGTTCGCCATCTGGAGTGCTTATTTTGTTGGCCCAACTGGGATCCGAGGGTGCTTATTTTAAATGAGCACCCTCGGATCCCAGAGAAGAGTACCCAGCAGTTTTGTCCCCCGACGGCTGCTCGGGGCGGTCCCGTCGTCGCCGCGTCGCCCAGCGCGTCGTGGGCAGCGCGCCTGGCCAGGACAGCGCCGGCGACGGCGCTTCTCTTCCAGCGGGGGGCGGAGAAAACGACGGAGGAGGGGAGGGGGGGGGGCGGGGGGCAAGGCGGGCGGGGGGGGGCGGGCGGGGGGGGGCAGGAAGGGAAGGGACGGGATAACACGACTACTGACTGAGGAGGGGGGGACCAGGGGGAGAGGAGTCGCAGACAGCCAGGCGTTGGTATAATAATAAACTTCTGGGCACTTTCGCCAGGGCCGGCTTTCGGCCAAAATCGGTTTGGATTTCGTTCTCTGGAACTCTCGCGCCGACCCCGGGATTTCCCAGCGCGCCGGGGCCATCCGCGGAGCTCCCGAGGCCCAAAGCAGCTCTCCAGAGAGCGAAGAAGCACCCGCGGACCCCGAGGAGTGCCCAGAAGTTCTGGGCTCGGGCCGACGGCCCGGGCTCGGGCCGACGGCCCGATTGGCGACCGCGTGCGCATGACTGCATGCGGGCGTCGACGCTACCACACACAATTGCCACTCGTGCGCAACAAAAGACAAGAAGAAGAGAGACGGGGCCTGCTGGGCGATGCGCTCGGCGTTGTTCCAGTCGCCGTTGTTATTGTCGATGCCGTCTCTCTCATCTCTCCTCTCTCCCACCTCGCGCGCTCTCTCTATTCTGGTTGCAGATAGTTCTCTCTCTCTCTCTCTCTCTCTCTCTCTCTACATATCCCTCTCTCTTTATATAGTTATATATTCTCCATTATTTCCCACCTCTCTCTCAATTATACATGCAAATATATATATACATATCTACATATATATTGCTATCCCTCGGTATCCCACCTCCCTTCCGCCATTTGTTTTACCCTCCCCCACTCCCCCCGTCGCTCGCTCGCCCTCTCTCTCTCTCTCTCTCTCTCTCTCTCTCTCTCTCTCTCTCTCTCTCTCTCTCTCTCTCTCTCTTCATGTCATTCATTCTCTCTGTCTGTCACTCTCGCTCTCTTTCCTTCTCTTTATATATATATATGGGTATATATATATGCATCGAATTCTTGACGCTTCGCGCATCCCCGCCAGCCCATCCAAAAAACGATGCCCAGGCGAATTGAGGTGATCAGGGAAGTGAGGGAACATAAGAGCCTCCTACTAGGATGTCTCTTGAAAGTTGTTCTGGAGTCCTCTTGGAGCGTCTGGGGGATTCGTGGATGCCTCGGGGGGCTCTTGGGACCTCTTAAGTCTCGGGGGTATCTTGGGAGCTTATTGGAAGCGTTTTGGGCGCTTGTTGGGGCCGTCTGGGTGCCTCTGGGGGCCCTCTTCCTGGCGCACTCTTGAGAGGGTTTTCGGGGCGCTCTTGGGGCCATCTTGGAGAACATCGATCAAAGAAGGGGGTTCCTTAATTACGCCCCCCCTCTTGGGGCTCTCTTGGGTTTCTCTCGGGGCTCTCTTGGGCCATCTTGGAGCCATCTTGAGGCCTCGGATGGCCATCGGAAGCGAAAAAAAGGCGAGAAAGCAAAACAACAAGTATTTTCCTTAGGTGTTTGAAAGATTTTGGCCTCGTGGGGGCCACCTTGGGATGCTCTTTTGCCTCTTGGAGCCGTCTTGGGGCGGTCTCGGGGCCTCTTGGGGCATCTTCGGAGCCATCTGGGGGCAGCTTTAGGCTATCTTGAGCCATCTTAGAGCTCATCTTGGGCTCTCCGAGGCGCTCTTGGAGCCGTCTTGGGCCATCTTCTCGGACGCCCCAACGCGTCGCGCCCCCCCCCACCCCCCCCGTTCAGGCCCATGGGGGGGGGTAGGGGGGGGCAAGCCCCTCCCCGAAGGGGAAGAAGGAGGTTGGAAGAGGAAACTCCTTAAACCACCTACGCCCAGAGGGCTGGTGGGATTTCGATGATGATTAAGTTTTCGGGGGGTCGTTCCTTTTCCTGGGCCGTCGCCGTGGCTGGATTATCATCGGCTTGCTTCGAAAAAACCGTTCGACCCCAGGGTGCGACACTTCGTCCGGGGGCGCGCGCGGCCCCGGGGCCCTGGTTGCACTCCCGCGACGAAGCGGTCCGATACACGACGGGATCGCTGTCGCAGGTCGCGGGCGGCGCGCAGAAGATCATCGGTCGGGCCGCGGGGAAGGGGGAAGCAGGGGGGAAGGGGGGGGACGGGTGGGCTGCGACGAGGGCGCAGCGACAGTCAAAGCTGGCATCTACGTCAATGCCCCATCGCCCCCTAAAGAAGGTTTCGAGTCGGCGCGTGGCGGGGCCTCCAACGCGAGAACATCACATACTCCCCAAGAAGAACGCGCCGCAACGAAGGACCAGTAATTTGATCCAACTGCGTTCCAGTGGGGGTTCAAGAATGCCCAGTGTGGCGTCAACACGCTATCGCGACCAACATCACTCACCATCAACATTAACGACCTGATGGTAATCACCATCATCACGCCGTCATCACCATCGCCAGCATCATCAGCATTATCGTCGCTGTCATCACCGTACTCGTCGTCGTCGTCATCATCGCCATCACCAAACAACAAAGTTCTTTGCGCATTTCCCGGAGCTGGACTCGCACGCCCCGCGTGGACGTCCGCTGTGAGTCACGCCCAGAACGGGCCCCAGAGCACCAGAGCAGCAGCTCAAACTATCCAAGATGAATTCGGCCTGGAGAGACCAGCAGGTGAAACTGCAGCGCTCGGAGGATAAGGTGCGAATTCCATTGTGCGTAGCAGGAGTGGGCAGTGGGTGACTGGCAGCGAACTGGGAGATCCATTGCCCCGTCGCAGCAACATCGCGCGACGGCGCCGCAGCGCGCGCGCCCCAGCCGCGGAGGGCGTTTGCGCTGGTCTCCTTGCCCTGTTAGGTCCGCAGCCCGCGCAGTCCAACAACGGGTCGGTGGAGACGGGCCTTGACCTCGACGCCTCGCCACCTCTGGGCCACGCAGCTACGAGGAGATCACCTGCAGCCCCGGAACTATCCACTTCGACCTGGGTCCAAGGCTGACCGGGCACCTCCGCGCCCCGGTCGACGATTTCGGCATGCCCCAGCCGCGCTCCGGGGGCCTGCCGCCCAAGCAGCTCGCGCTGCTGGCGATGCGCAACGACGGCCAGGATCCCCGCGTCGCCGACGGACGGTAATTTTACGAGCTGGAGATCCAACCTCTCGATCCGAATGCGAGAGCGCCGTCGCGTAGCACCTCCCGCTCTGCCGGCAGTTGCACCCGCGCCCTTTCCGACGCCAGCATCGCGACCGATGGTCGGGAAATGGCATCCACGGATGTAACGGCACTGGCACCGCCAGGTACATGCATGCACACTGCCCCGCGCTCAGGTCTCGCTCTCAGAGGCGTCGGCATCGCCGGCGGCGCGGTGGATCCCGGCCACCGCGGAGAGATCGAGGTCATAATATGCACGACGCCAGTCCGCGGACCCACGTGGTCGAGCATGGCCATCGCATCGCCCGGCTCATACTGGGACGATCTACCGACGACGCCGAGATTGCGATCGTCCCCGGTTATCCGTCATCGTCTCGGGGGCTGGGTGATTTCGGACGCGCAGGCGTGGCGCGCCTCGGCCACGACGCCATTCCGAGCGTCTTGGGTGATCCAATTTCCGAGGGTCCGCTCGGCGCCCGTGGCGTCGACGATTTACGGGCGGGCCCTCCAGGCTGGCCCAGCCGCCCTGCCCTGGCGCAGGGATGGGCAGCAGGACGGGGGCGTCCGGCCCGGGACGTCCGGCCTGGATCCTGGGTAGGCTACGGGGCACATCGAAGGCGCTATTGGATCACGGCTTTGACTGCGGGAGTACAGTTCGGTCGCTGTCAGATCCCGCGTTCCCCAACCAGCCAGAGCATGTTTTGGATTGCGTGTGACACGGTTACCGCGTCCTCGACTCTCCGCCCGACTGGCGTGCCCACGCCATGGGCACCGGCACCAGGATCGCGGTCCTCTGCGCGCGCGGTCCTAGTTGGAGACGTCCCGTCGCGAAGCAAATTACCGACATGCTAATGCTTCATTACAGCGAACATCGGACTTGTCACCGGCCGCTAGCCCTGTAGGCCACGCGCGGCAACGTTGCTCTCACGATGCTCACTGGGCCACCTACTACCAACCAACAATGCAGATGCGACAGCAAGGTGGAGGAGCGCGTCGACGACTGGAGGATCACGAGCCGACGTGCGCGCTTGGCCTTGATGCGCCGCGAGGTCTTACGTCTTGCGCCTGCCCTCGCGCCGCTGCGCTTCAACGAGCCATGGCGCGTCAAGGAGCACGCTCTCGACGAGGAGCAGCAACAGCTTCAGCACCAGACTCGAACACCTTCCTTTCCTACGATCACTTGCAAGCGCGACGTCAAGCGTCACGTTCAGGACGCCTAGCAGCACGCGCAGAAACAGCACGTCGTGGACAATAACCTCCAGAACGACACGAACCAGCGTTGCCCGACCCTGCTGCAGAACGGAAGGCATCTGGCGCCTACGTTGCCAGTGCTCACCCAGCGGCCGAGCGCGCGCGTCAGGAGAAGATGGAATAGGGCCGCGCGTCGAGGACCACTGCGACGACTGCGGCTCAGACCGCACGGGTCTGGCCCCATGTCTTCTCGGCTTCTTGGCCATTGGAGACCCGGGTCGCGCCGATGCGCGCGCGACGACGATGACCCGCGCGGCACCCTCGCTTCGGGCTCGCCTGCCTGG